GGCCTTACTGTGATGAACCTGATCATTTGTGTTGGGGGAATGAGTGTGGAGTCATTTGAAAATTTGCGCTGGAAAATTAGTTGAATACTCTGAGCTTAGTAGGCTGTTCTCTTGGAGACTGGAAGATAAGAATGCTGAGAGAAATACAGATGATGAAGATCTGCCTTGTGAAGTTTCAGGCAGAAGTAAAAACATCATCATTGTTGTTCATGAGATGTTTGTATTAAATATCTGTAGAACTGAAACTATACTTTTTACCTCAAACAACAGATGCTGGTAGGCTTGGCTGAAGAATAAACTGTGATTAATAACAGACCAGCATCATTGAGGTGAAATCTGTGAATTATTTCCTCAGGGTCAGTGCAAAGAAATAGTAGATCAGTATGGGAGGGAACAAGGGTTCACATAAAGCTGGTGTCAGAATTTGGCAAATAATGTGTAGGACTTTCTTGCATGGTACTGCTTTTGAAGGCTTAAATGGGTCATGTAGAGCAGGTGAGGCCTGGCACAGTGTGGAAGGGTCAGAGTCTCCCTGAAAAGAGGCCAGGAGAGGCCACTGGTGAAGGTAAAGCTTCAGTTGCAGTGGCAATTCCAGGATATTGGATATGCCAGGATATTGATGTCTACCAAGAATAGTGGCAGGTGTGGAATAGAGCCAATCTGAACCAAAGAGACAAGCTGTTTGTGTGGGGAATTACAGAGCCAGAATTGTGAGAATGCCCAAGCCCTTTGGAGCCCAGAAGATCATGAGTGAGTCCCAGATTTCTGGCAAAATTGTAAGCTACACTGCTACTAATTTTTCCTTAAGTCTGAATTTTTATACATATTTATTGCTTTTTGGAATAAGAAGTCTTTAACTTATATTTCATTTTACAAGAGCCCACAGTTAAGAGACTTTGAATTTTTAAAGAGACAATGGATCTTTAAGGTACTAAAAAACTTTGAAGATTGTGGGGCTTTTAAACTCATGCTCTATTTTATATTATGACATTAATATGAGATCTTGGGGACAAACAAGTGAGTAAAGGTTATCATAGAAAGTTACATGTTTGTGTGCCAAAGTTCATAAGAGGTGGAGTGTCATAGTGGGCATCAGCTGCCAATTTGACACAAACCTAGAGTTACCTAGGAAGAGGAAACCTCAACTGAAGAATTTCCTTAATCAGATTTGCCGATTGTGATGTTTGTGAGGCATTACTAACTGATTTAAAAGGGCCTTGTCCACTATGGGCAGTGTCATCCCTAGGTGGGTGGGCCTAGGCTATTTAAGAAAGCTAAGCAAACCAGAGGGAGCAACCAGTAAGCACCATTCCATTATGGTCTCAGCTTCAGTTCCTGCCTCCAGTTTGCTACCTTGCGATACTGACTTCCTTCGAATATGAGCTGTGTCTTGAAAGCATCAGGTAAAATAAACACTTTTGTCCCCCAAGTTGGTTCTTGTCATGGTGCCTATCATGGTAATAGAAAGCAAAGTAGAACATTTAATAGCGTTTATATAGTGACTCTATTATCCATTGTTTCACCATTTATGGCTATAACACTTCACAGTCAATTATACTCTTAAACTATAAAATATGAAATTCTGCAACTCAACACTTCATGAGTTCCAAATTGCATGCTGTTCTGAGTAGTATGATGAAATCTCATGCCGTCATGTTCAGTCTCACCGCATATGTGAATTACTCCTCTGTCCACTATATCCATATTTTATATGACACTAACCATTTACTCATTTGTTGCTCTTACTTTGATAAGACTGATTGTGGTAGAATCGTGAAGCAAGCAACTGGAGGTCAAGTAACCATTATATAATGGATTAACCCTATGCCATAATGCCCACGCCATTCATCTCACTTTATATAATCATTTGTATTGTCTCACATCATATCAAGATGGGTGAATACAGTACAGCAAGATATTAATAGGGAAGTTATACAACTTGTTATCCCACTATACCCAATTTATAACTAAAACTTATTGTGGGTTCATCTCTCCTGCAAAATATACTAATCATAGTACTTTATACTATGTGTACTTTCAAGCATTCAATGAAGAAGCTGAAACTTGTCCCCTACTGATAAGGGGAACTATTATATACAATTGGCATTACTATTTCTGGGCAAGACTTTTAATTTTGCTGACATTACAGCAAGTCTTAGATATCTATTGTTAGATGCATTTAATCTATCTTTGAGTTTAAGATACAATAAATTCTCTCAAAGGCACTTGTAAAGATTTTTATAGATTGGCTAGGGCATTAAGTGTGTGGAAATGCCACTTAATTCTTTTTTTCCCTTCTAGTACACTGTTTCAGGACATTCAGTTAAGAATATTGATGTTACCAAATTGATGCTTTCTAAACCAATTTACATTTAAGGAATAAAGTTGCAAACTAGCCTGTATGTGTTATAGAAATGAAATGCATAATAAAATAGTATTTTGAACAAGAGTGAAGTAATAAGATAGTTAAGCTTGAAGAACTTGCAGTGTGTAGTTGAATCTTGGAGTTTCTTGGGCAGCGCTTATTAAACCCACACTGAGAAAGGAACTGATTCTTACTGCTAACCTGAAGGCTAAAGATATCAATTTGAAGATTTCCTGCAGCTTCAGTGAGTATAGTGGCTGGGAAATGGGATTTGGGATTTAGGAATGCATGACTCAGTCTTGTACTGTAATGTGGCAGTTCCTCAGATGAGCCTGATGAATTGTCTCGTTGGACAAGTTTCATTTATAACTTTATGTGAACCCAAAGTCCTTGCTTAGAAAATTAAAATAGGCTACCATCCTTTAAGGTGTGCTAGGGATAAAATAGCTTATTCTCAATGATATTTTATAAATTCTCTGGTTTTCACACTAAATGATGATGATGACACTTTTCAGCTAGTGAATAGAATTTGATTTTGTTTTATAAGCTAAGATGTATTTTAACAGACTTTTATTAATGTGAATGAATTAATCATTTAAAATATTCAGAGGTGTCTGAGGCTGCAGGAGAGAAAAAAAGTCGTGTGACTGTCAAACCACAATTTCAGCTTTCTCATCTTTAATAAAGTCATAGTGACAGACACTTGGAAATGAACAGTCCTCTAACATCTTGCAAAGAAACTTGTGCTGTCATGCGTCGACAATATATTTGAACTCTGTTCTGACTTGCTACTTTTGAAATTCAGTCCTGCAGTTCTACTCTAATATATCAGCCTTAAAATAAAAAAGAAAAGAAACAATAGAATGGTGAATGCCAGGAAATGAAGAGTCGTTGGTCAAAGAGTACGAACTTGCCCTTGTAATTAATAAATTCTGGTCATCTGACATACACAAAGGAGACTATGACTTAATAGCATTGCTTTACATATTACAAATTTGCTGAGAGTACATTTTACATATTTTGACACCACATGAAAAAATAGTACCTATGTCAAGTGATGGATGGAATAAGTAAATTGTGATAACTTTTTTTTTAATGTGCATGTGTATCGAAGCACCACATTGAGCAACTTAAATGCATGCAATTTTGTTAGCTTTCTGTTTATGAGGTTGGAAAGTGGATGATTTATTTGAAGAAGACAATGCAAATTTAGTTTATTTCAAAAGAAGTATTGTGCTTCTCGAAATTGCAAACACTAGTTTAATATCCTTTTTAGTATCCTGAAGATACCTTTACAATAGGAAATGATCACATATTTTTGTAGCTTTCACTGAGAGAATATCTTCTATCAATCAGTATAGGTAAATGCTTCGAATTATTTGGAAGTAGGTTTCTAGATTTATAGAGTTGCAAAATGACAAATCTTTAGAGACATGCAATTCATTTCATTATTATTAATTTAAATTTGTAATATTTTTGATAATTCCATACATGAATACTATACTTAGACCACTTCTATGCCTTCCTTTTCCCACTTAAACTCCTCTCATGTTTCCACTCTCTCTCTCAAATTTATGATCTCTTCCTTATTGCTTTATATATATGCATAAACACATGTATATGCACCAACAACATATTCAGTCCATTTAGGTTCACTGGTATGTACATGTGTTTACGACTGACCACTTGGGACTGGGTAACTTATCAGGGCACTTGTCCATAGGGAAAACTGACACTTCCTCTCTCAGAAGCCATTGATTGCCTCTTCGGCCAGGAATGGGGCCTTGTGAAATTTCCCCCATCTATGTTGACGTGTTGACTGCGGTTGTCATTATGTGGGTCTTGTTTAAGCAGCCATATTGTTGAGATGTCGTGGGTACAGCTTCCCTGTCATCTAGAAGACTCTATCTAGCACTAGTACCCTGGAGCCCCAGTTCTTACAGTCTTTCTGCACACTCTTCCACAATGCTCTCTCTGCCTTAAGTGTAGGGGTTGCATTTTATCTGTACCAATTATGGTTGGGCACACCATAGTTACTTATTTTTTGCATTTTGATTGTAAAGAAGCACATTGGATAAAAGTACATTCTCTTGCAGCATGGAATATTTTTAAATGGTGATATTAAAATAATAAAAAGTCCTTTAGAAGTGATCGTTTCTCCCTATTGAATTATAAGTAAAATCTCTACATTAGGAGAAATAATAATTCTTAAGTGAACTGAAGGAAGCTTGCAGAAATAATTTGGACATTATTGATTTGTATTTAATGGACAACATACAACATATTGGAAAATAAAATGAAGATCCTGTTTACAGTTCTTTCCTTTTGAGTAATTCATTGCCCTAAATATACATGATAAAAAAAGTTTCCCCAAAGTAAGATCCATTGGCTCTTGCCTACAGTCCCAGCACTTGGGAGACTGCTGTAAGATGGTGTCACATCCATGTCACGGGAGGGAATCACAGCAAGAATCTCTCTCTCTCTCTCTCTCTCTCTCTCTCTCTCTCTCTCTTTCTCCATATATATATATGTATACATAACATATATGTAGTTCTAGAAATAGATGTACACAAAAATCTTAAAATACAGGTATACATCTTCAAAACTTTTTTTTCCTTTTTATCTTTGCTTTAAGGAACAGCGTTTAAGAAGTGGAAGATGAAAGCTCCAATTCCACATTTGATTCTCTTATATGCTACTTTCACTCAGAGTTTGAAGGTTGTGACCAAAAGAGGTTCTGGTAAGAAGTGTTCCTCCTTTATTTCTCATTTTTTAAAATCATTGAAAGTGATGGTGTAACATTTGCTCATGTGTTATCTGAGAAATATTGAGAAGTGATAGGAATCCAAGTTATGTGGATATCACAGATATATGAGGAATTAGTGACAGGTGTCAATAAGGAATTGCAAATGCAGTACTGTATGGAAATGAATGTGGTTGTATTGTTGATTACCAGGAATCTGAATATGTTCTGTACAAAAATTAGGCATTTTGATTCCACTTAACAATGTGATTTGCAACATTCTCTTTTAAAATGCATTTCACGTTATTGTTTGATATTACCATTTAGTTTTCAACTGTGCCCCGAGTGGATTCTTTTTCATGGTTGTAGTTCTGCTGAATCTCTGAATTACTTAGAAGTATTTAAAGTAAAAATGTTTTAAGAAAATTATGTTAAGTGTACTGTAATATTTAGTGGGGAAAAGAGTAGGATGTTAATAAGAAAAGGTAGTAAATAAACTGATATCGAAATTTACAGAAAGCTTACATGTTACCAGGCATCCTGATTTTGCAGTAGACTTTTTATTTTGCTAAAAGACAGTATTATACTCAGTTGAATATCTATGGATGTGAATATCTGTTTAGTAAATCATTGATAATATAAATCATTGCAAATTTCCCACTTCACATGGGAATACAGAAGTTTTGAAGTTATAACTTTTAAGCAGAGAGGAAAAAGATATATTAAGATTAGCTGATGGAATTATTATGTGCTCTCTGTTAGATTTAGAGAGACAAAAATGCTGATGTGACACTCAAGAGGTTGCAGTGTTGTGACATCATAATTTGGAATATTACAGCATCTGTCTTGGTCCCTTGGGTTAAGTGACTTCAAACTCACGTCGATGGTATAATGGAAACTTCAAGGGAAGTGCAGAGTATTTCTACTTACACAGTCTGCTTCTGGGGAGAAATTCTGGACAGAAAGTGATGAGGCCTGAACATGGGCAATGGTTCAGTAGAAGGTTGAAAGCAGAAGGAATTTTACTGAGATTATTAGGGGCCCTCGAACATTTTGGTTATATCACACTTATTATTATTATTATTATTATTATTATTATTATTATTATTTGGTCTTCTTGAGATAGAGTCTCTCTGCAGCCCCAGCTGTCCTGGAACTCACTATGTAGACCAGGCTGGCCTTGAACTCACAGAGATCTGCCTGCCTCTGCCTCCCAAGTGCTGGATTTAAAGTTGTGCACCACCACGCATATCACAGTTATTTTATATTTCACTGATGTGCTTGTAGGCAATATGGAAAAAAATGAAGTTTCTATTTTTATACCTTATTTTACTTATTTTTAGTGGATAGTTTTTAATGTAAGAAAAAGCTCGATGGGTTTACAACTATCAACTAAATTTTGAAAGTTTCATTTTTCTGGTTACTGTATCTCATTACATAAAATCTGTTTATTCAGTTCTTTCAGCATGTGTCAAATTTATGATTTACTGAAATGTAAATGTGTCATTTTTGTTATCATAAAATAGTGATGACAGGTCTATTCTATACATGGTCTAATTTAGGGACTGGAGTTTTTTTTTTTTTCTTTTTAACCAACTTGAGACTTGCTATCTTTGAGAAGCATGGAGCAGAACTAGGAAACTGGGACAATTAATATCTCCTGCTCTAAAATTTTGAAAAGCTGAGCTCCCAATTTCAAATTTAAGTATTATTTTAATGATATAAATATAATTAATTTAGGAAGATGTAAGTCAGATGATGCACTAAGTTAAACAAGTATTCGGAGATCTCACACACTTCAGTTTATGAGCACAGTGCCATATACTTGCTTTATATCTCTCAAACCACATGTATCTCTATGTCATCATACAAAGATTACAAACAAGTTAAACATTAGGATTTTGCACGTTTGCCTTATGACTCTTCTCTGTAGTATCAATTTTGACAGCTTCTGCTCAATGAGTGTGATAAGGCCCAGGAGAATTTAATTCTATTTGGTTTCATTTCTGGATATTAAGTGCTTAATTTGGATATTGAAATTGTTTTATTCATATACTTCCCTTGCTTTTGGTAATTTAATCTTTGTCTGTTACCGTGACTCACTCCTTTATTTGAAAGAAACACATACATAGCATATTGAACAGCATTATTACTCATCTCCATAGATCAAGTAGAAGAGTGTACTTGACCTCTTCATACCCATTTTGACTAACAAAAACACGAAGGTCAGAGAGCCCAAATCAACTTTTAATGTTAGAGCTTGCATATTAACCAAGAAGGCTACTTATTGTTATTTGTGTCAGTTAATTCTTTTTATTTTCATTTTACTAATCTTTTAGAAGGCTCAATACATGTGATTCAAAATACATTGATTTTCAAGATTTTTAATGAAATATTTTTAATTTACAATGAGCACTGGAAAAGTAAAACTACACAGCTTAACAATTAACAACATATAAAACATGATTAAAATCTAAAGTCCAATTTTGAATTTTTATGGCATGTTAATTTGTGTGATGTTTACTTTGTACTAATCCATATGGCCAATCCGTAAGAATTTATAATGAAGTATTTGTTTCTCATTAATGAAAATAATTTAAAAACAATAGGAGCTCTTATTACACAAGCTGGAGATGCATTATTTTTATCACATTTGCTTACATCCCTATTGATATTAATTTAAGGACAAATTCTTTATAATAAGACAGTTATTATTGTATCCTTAATTCAAATATTCAAAATACAAATTTATGTTTTATTTTAAGTATCATCTCAGATATGCATATGCTTTAAGTAAATATGAGTCTGCTCTCTCGGGTAATAGTCTACGTTTATGTGTACATTGAAAATAAAGATGTCCAATGTTTCTGGAGGAAATATTTAGCTTTTGTTAAAATAGAAATTTTCTGCAAAAAGTTATACATTTTTAAATGTTATAAACTATACTTCAAGAGACTAGGTATTTCCTTAAATCTGGGGAGTGTTATAACAAGTCAGTAAGTAAACATCTGACTTTCTGTCAATTGTTGAATTTTGTATGAAAACATATGCAAAGAAAATCCTTGCTTCAGGTGTATTTGTGTCTCAACCAAATTATAAAATGTAGCTTAATACTCTTCTTTGCCCTTCTCTCCTTCTCTCTGCTTCTCCTCTCCTCCCCTTCTGCTCTCTTTTACGTGTTTCCCATCCCTTCCTCTGGCATCCTTTCCACTCCCTACCATACCTTTTTCCTCTTTCCCTTTCTCCCTTCATTCTGTTCTTCCCGTGTCTGGGGACTTTACTGCAAATAAAAAGAACTGACTTTGCTATTACCACAGTGTCTATGTATGCCAGACTGAACTAGGGCCTTGTGCATGCTAGGCACGTGGTCTACCATTAAGCTACATCAGCATACCCAAAATATGTGATCCTGCTTATGCCCTCCAAGTACTGGGATTACAAACATGCACAAACACACACAGTTAGTTATTTCTCTTTTATGAGACAGGGCCTCCGTGTAGTCCCAGGTGGCCTGAAAATCACTGTGTAGACCAGACTGGCCTCCATCTCGCAAAGATCCATCTGCCTCTAGCTCCTGAGTGGGGGAATTAAAGGTGTTCACAACCCCACCTCCTACAGCTAGATCTTTTTAGATATAAAAATATTATTTTTATTTGATTTAAAGGGTGAAGTCCATAACATGTTCTTGTCCAGGAAATTAAAAAAGGACAACGCAGTTTCTTCTATGCTATTAATACGGGAGAATGCATTGTCCTGTTTGAGTTGGGGTTTATGGAAGTATCTTAATGAATGAATGATTGAATGCATCACTGTGTAAGTGATGAGTTTTTTTTTTTTCTTTTACAAAAACTTTATTGAGAATTTCATATGTGCATATAAGGTGTTTTGATCAAATCCATGCCCACTTCCTCCCCTCCAACATTCATCCCTCTGAAGAGGAAACCCTAAAATCTTTTAAAGATTATATACAAGCTCCCAAATACTTTTGATATTTTTGGCCTTTGGAACAGAGTATTTTGCTAACAGGCCCAAGGACATTTTGACTTTTAGCCAAGAAACTGGCTACATTTCTTTGGGGTCTTTTTACCCTAACTGCCTAGCCAATTCCTACCTTATATTCTTATCATACCATCCTCTGAAGGGGTTACCTAAATTACCAATAGGGAATAGGGAAGCAGACCGCTCTGGCTTCTTCCATGCTGAACAGGGACTCGGGGTGAGACAATTGGAGTACCCCTTCAGTGGGTCCATCGAAAAGACTTCCAAATTGAATAACTCTTGTGTCTAAGCGGAAAAGAAAGTCCTTGAATCATGAATAGGAGATGTGAAGGAGAAGTAAAGTCAAGAGTAATTAACATTACAAGTTCTAGAGAGGGAACTAGAAAAAAGTCAGAACAGAGCAATTTTCAAATGTTCATATGAGAGTCCATTGGAGTTTCTTGACAAGGGCTTCCAAAAGCATCCCTCCATTAGGTTCTTCCTCATTTTTCTTTTGTCTTCCAAGGCTGGACTAGTTGGCTGAGAAGAGTGGCTGGATTCTCAGGTGAGGGTCCAGTGACCCTGCTTGCACTCCTTTAATGAATGAGCACAACCGTCAGTAAGCCCAATTGTGACTAAGTTTAGTGATCAGGCTTAGCCGAAGTTGTGATGCTGCTAGTTATTTCATGTAGAAGGTACCGCTGTATAGCATCATCTCATTAAAAGGACCTACAATTTAAAACAATTTGGTGCTAGGAGCCACATATGAGGGAGAACATACGACGTTTGTTTTTCTGAGTCTGTGTTACTTCACTTAGTATGACAGCTTCATTACATCAATGAAAACATTACAGTATATTACAAAGATAAAGGTAAGACAAAATAGAGGGATTTTGGAAAAAAAATATTTTTTAAAAAAAATTATTCATTATAGTGTAGAATTTGAGACACTAGTATTACAAAGTATAAAGGTAACAGTATTACAAAGATAAAGGTAAAACAAATTGAGGGATTTTAGA